GTTTTTGTTTGCTATGTTCAAGATAGACGCTGCTGGAGTACAAAGCAAGTTGGGTTTTTGCCGTCGTCCGTTTGCGCCGACGTAAGCTGAAACAGCTGGCCAAGTTGAAGCGCGGAATGGGCATCGTCGAGACAAGACGAGTCGGGAAAAGATGGCGCGCTCGGGTCGAGGGAGTACGTACGGGTCTGGGTGCGGGAATCTGGCGTCGCCGTCCCACGTCGCTGCCGCTGCGCCACGTTCCGGCTGGCTGGCGGCGCGTCGTCTTTGTCTTTGTCTCGGCGTGGCGAGCTCGCGCGGCAGTGGCGGCAGCGGCAGGGGCAGCGCGCAACCGGTTCCTCTCTCTCTCTCTCTCTCTCTCTCGCTCTCGCTCTCTCGTCACCGTGCAAATTTCGCCTCTTCCGCTGCCCGCCGCTGCCTGCCGCTGCGCGCTCACTGCCCTCCTGCCCCCACGACTGGCAGCGCCGCCGCAGCCGCATTTTTGCGCGCGCTCTCTCGCTTCCCCGCCGTCTCTTCGGCAAACTGCTACCGCGAATTAAGGCTGCGCGTACCATTTTCGCTGCTCCCGTGCTCCGCGTTTTGCTGGCTTTTCGCGCCCGATGATCGGCCAGTTCTCGTCCTGATGCTCGCTCGTATTTGCCATCTGTCGATATCCGACTCGGCGAGATTCGGGTGAAGGCAATTCGGATAGACTGGCTTTACGTAAGCCGCCGCGTTTCTACTCGGCTAATTGAATCGAAATTTACACATTGTTTGCGTGCCGTGTGCCGCGTGGTTGCTAGCAGGATACAATTAAAAGAACCTTCAGATGCGATCTGCTCGCGTATTCTTTCGCGCCGCTCGCAATGCTACGTAGACGCTAATTCCGTGCAATCTAACGCGGCAGATCAAACAATTTGAGGCATGGCTGTTTAGCGCTGTTAATAGACTACTGTGTGGCGAGTAGATATCGCAAAAGCCATGGCGCACAGGAAATTCATGAACGAAATACAAGTGCGAGAGCCGAATGTGAGCTCGTGGACGCCGCAGGGTCGGTCAACAGTCCACGTCCGATCGATCCATGGAAATAGCTGTCGTAAAGATCATCAGGCGCGCAGCGATGAGCTGATAAGGCGTTGTACACAGTGAGCCGCGTGCTTCTCACCTTGTTTAGTTTACGTAATGGAAAAGCACCATTTTATAGAGCTTCGTAAAAAACGAATCGGGAACAAGTGTAGCTCGAGTCACGTGTTGCCAGTCTATCATACGCCAGCCGAGCTCGCAGACAGATAAACGCCTACATTGTGACATTCGCTCGCTCTCTCTCTCTCTCTCTCTCTCTCTTTTATTCTCTCTCTCGTTTAATCGTAATATATTGCAACATTCGAACGCGGTCCCCTACGCGCAGAAGAAATGTGATTAGGAAGCGCGCGTGCAATCTATCGATTTTATAGTTGCTGAGCGCCGCTCTATAGCCATCAGTTCTATACATGTATGTAGAGTCCAACCAATGAGATCTCTGCAATAGTACATAGCTGGCGGGGCATTCTCCAATCGAAACTTGATTGCGGGAAAAGTCGTTGAAACGAAGCTCCAGACGATCTTTTCCCGCACAACGCGTCAGACCATTTCGTTCGCTCTCTTCTAATAATAACGTCACGCGCATAGCTGGCTGTAAGGCGTTATAGTCCAATAATTTGCGAGCCATTGAAATGCCGTTACAGCGATCTATCTCTGGAATATATCTTGGTATAAATATCGAGCGCCACTTCCGTAAATAAATTGCGCCATTGCGCTCCTCCGCAGCGAATCGCGGCCAGGCGCGTGATTCCGAACTCGTAGAACGGAAAGGCGGCGCGGACGAGTCGACTCGTACGCGCGGCGGCGCGTCGTCGCGACGTGCCGACTAAGGGCATCGCCGGCGCGCGGAGGGGAGGCGGAGAGCTTGCGAGCATAAAGCGGATGACGCCCTCGCCGAGTCGGGCGCGGGCTTCCAGTAGGTTCGCCGCGGCCCCTCCCCCCTCCGTCCTACCTCTGACCTAGGCTACGTCAGCCGCCGCCGTCTGCTCGCCTCCTCGCTCGCGTGCCGGCCGCCGCGCCGACTGCAAGCTCGCGCGCGCACGGCGACTTTCCGCTTGCCCTCGCTCCCGTAACCGTCACGCCTCGGCCAGCCTCGCTATTATGGCGCGCGCTCCGCAAGGCACCAGCGGCCAGACAGTTGCGTCTTGTTTCGCGCTGTCGATGCTCGTGGGCCGCAGCTGTTGGCAGCCGGAGCGCACTTGGCTCCGAGCGGAAAGCAGCGAACAAGCGCGCTGGCGCTGGCTTGTCTGCAATCAATGGGGAGCGCGGAGGAGGCGGCGCGGTCGGGGGAGGGCGGCGGGGGTACGGCTGCAGGCGAACAGCGCTACGGCACTCCTCCGGCGTGCGACAGACTCGGCTGAAGCAGCGCCGACTGGCCGGCTCGGCGGGCGGCGCGATCGATTTATCCGCGGCACACACGTACGGAGAGGAGAGAGCGCGACCGGGAGAAGGAGCGTCGGGCTTGCGGGCTTGCGGATCGATGGTCCAAGGGGCCGACGAGATGCGAGCGGCGAGAGGGGTGGGCTCGCTCACTGCGGGAGCCCGCTATTGCTCGCGGTCAATATCAGCCGCACGCAGCACGAGACGCGACGCGCGGCTCGCTCAGCGCGAGAGGGCGCACGAAGACGCGTCGCCCGCCGCCGCCGCCGCCAGCCGACTTCTCTGTCCGCCTCGCGCGCAGCTCGCCTCCATCAATGTACGCACGCAGCCGCCCCTTTCACACTTTCGTGCCTTCTCCTCGCAGGCTCCCACTTTTCGGAACGTCACAATCGAGCGGCAATTGTCTATTGTATTATTTATACACTCGTCTGCCCTTTACTCGGATCGAATAAATCGTTTGCTCGGTAAATTTACTGATCTAAACATACGTAGCCGGCTCATTACCTTCTCATTATTTTCAGCTGGAACACGCGAAACGGCTCAGCTTTTTTATGAGCAGCCTTTAAAATGGCACATGCACGTAATCTAAGGAGAAGAATGAGCATTTGAAAGCGGAAATGACATCAGCTGCGCGCGATAAACGTTCAATTTAACGAAGCTCGATGTCACCTGCTCACCAATTTTGGACTTGGAAAGTGTTAAGATTATGTCGCAAAAAGAAAAATAAAGCGCATGGTGGGCAGGCAGGCAGGCAGACAGGAAGGTATCGACCGTTGGCCATCAAAACACCTGGCAGTGGCGAATTTAGAGACAATCGGTGGCTGGTACATGAGCGCACCGTTCCAATACTGAGAGTCCTGTCTCGTTACAATCTGTCTCCTCTTTGCAATTGAAGCATCGAAAACTTTAATCCATGTGCCAGAGGGCATGTACATATACACTGTAAGCGAGAAAGTCCGATAATTAAAGGCGCGTGTTTTTGATCGAGCAGCTGACCAAATTATATCGCCGTATGCGCGCGCAAATTTCACTTTTCTTTGTTTTGCAGAGGTAAGGAGCGGCGGCACCTGACGCGACGGAGAAACGGAAGAGCTGCAACGGACGTATGCAGCAGGTGAGTCGACGCACGCTCTAACGAGTCAGGTGTTATAAGCTATACGTTTCAAACAGATGCTCCACAGCGTCGGCTTGTCTTGCTTGCTCTCCATCGCGTAATTCGCTTCTTTTATCCATGCAATTTTCGAGCTCTTTAGGCGCTGATTGATGCACGACGGCAAGCAGACTAATCGCGTGTTTACGCTGTCGCTCTTTTCTTTGTTTACCTTGTCTTCTTCTCGTCTTCTTTTCTTCATTTTTTTTCATCTTCTTTTCATCTTCTTCATTTTCTTCTTATTCATCTTCTTCCTCTTCTTTTTCCTCTTTTTCTTTTTCCTTTTCTTCTTCTTCTTTTTCTTCTTCTTCTTCTTCTTCCTTTTCTTCTTCTTCTTCTTCTTCTTCTTCTTCGTTCAACGACCTCGCGATTGAAGGCTTACTTCCTTTAATCGCAACCTTTCTATGACTAATACTTGTATAAGGAAATGAATGAATATCATAGATCAACTTTGTCGAAACCTTTTAAAAAAATAATGAATCTGAGTTGTATAATCTGATGAAATGCTAACTTTGATGTAGAATAAGTTGAAGCAGAGAGCAGGAACGACATAAAAATGAAAGGTTGAGTAGGGTGACTGAGCTTGAGCAGACTCGCCTTCGTACGTAGCGAATCGTCATTTTACACAAGCTTCAAAGAACCTGCTCCCGCAGTTCTATTTCAAACATTTTTAAAATCTTTGTAAAATATATACACTTAAACTCATCTACTTTTCTTTCGCCATCATGCTCCTACGGTCATCGAGTTATTTTACGTTTACATAACATTTATACAGCTTACACTTCCACATTGCAATTTTTTTCGTAAAAATAAAGATATCCGGGCATAATAATTTTGTTGGAAAATTTACAGAGGATGTTTGTTGGTGACAAGAGAAACGGCAAACGAAAGAAATGAGCGAATTTGGAAAAGAAATAGTGAAATAAAATCAGAGCTACGGAAAAAGCACTGACGGCGACAACGGCGAGTGGGATGGAACCGGTAGGCTTCAAGGTCATCTTCTTTTTGCGCGCTTAGCTCGCGAATAAATGTGCAGTGAAAGAGAGAAAGACAGAGAGAGAGAGAGAGAGAGAGAGAGAGAGAGAGAGAGAGAGAGGGAGGAAAAGGAGAATATAACGATGTGAAAGAAGCTTACATTACTCATGGCTGGCATCGTCCGTTAATACACATGGCCTTCAGCTCAACAGAGCCAACTTTACGTTTGTTTCTGTTTCAATTTATTGTTTCCGTATAAAAAAAAATCAAATCTCAATATTCGCTTTGAAAAACTTGTGAACGCTATTAATTATCATCTAAACTGAGTCGCGACGTCAGTTCAAGTTTTATTTAAACGCTAGACTTTCTCATTCTGCTACGTTTTGTACTGCATCTAAATAGCTCTCGCAATGAGATAAGTAAAAGCATCAAACACTGTAACAACGTCCATATCATGCTGAACTGCACCGGTTCTCGTCCGATCACCGAAGTTAAGCAGCATTGAGCGCGGTTAGTACTTGGATGGGTGACCGCTTGGGAACCCCGCGTGTCGTTGTTTTTTTTTGTTTTTGCTTTTTCACAATTTTTTAAATGTTAAATTCTCTTTTTATCGACTTTCTTTTGAAGTAAACTAACTTTGAAGATGAATTATTTTCATACAGATGACATTATAATGAACGACAATAATCTAGACTTGTTCAGTTAATAATCGTGTGGATGTCCGCGCTCGAAAAGTCAAGATAGCAGGTGCTCTGATATCGAAAGATTGATCGAACGAATGACGCAAATTGCGATTGATTTCGATAAGATGTTCAAAGGTGAAACGAACGAGCACGATGACACTGGTAATTTTATCAGTTGGAGCTTAATTCAGCTTTTGCAGTATTGGCTTATCGCAGTCATACGTACGCCAGTTACGTCCACGTACTCTTATTTTATCTCGTCGCTTATTTGCACTGCTTATATTTGCCATCGATTGTAAACCGCCTCTTGGCGAGATTAGATTTGCACACGTGACACCAACTTTTCCTTGTTTACTACGCTGTACAGCTTGACTATTGTTTCAGTCAGCTAGAATATAAATAAAAAAAGCGGAATGCTACAGGGGTGTATTGCAATAAAATAAAGTGGGCAAATAAAACAGTCAAATGTTTGTCGTGCAAAAGAAATTTCATAGGTATTGTCATCTTTTGTTTCCTACGTCGTTAGAAAAGAATTATGTTACGCTTCTGTGCGCATTATTTATGAGCATACTTTGACTCTTCATTTTCCGGTGAATCCCATCGACTTTCCTATCAGGGAAACTCGATTGGCCCACTTGATCACATGCCGGCAAGCATTGCGGAAGGATTATCACGTTATCGCATGGTCTCGCGCTAGAGCAAGTGGAGAGCGTAATATTTTCAAAAGGCAAGTACAGCGTGGCGAAACTCACTGAAAAAGACGCCGAAAATATTCAAGGTTGTCAGAGCGCCACAAGCTCATTTAGCTATTCGATATCTGAGAACTCGGTTGAAAGCAAAGAAAAAAATGTCTCGGGTGCCTCGGATTAGCGAAAGCACTTTTGCCAACGGGCGGAAGACAATCGAATGTCGCGAGAGGTATACCAGAAGCGAAGCGCCAAGGATCGAGGAGGGCCGATGCACGCGCGTAGCCGTGACAGGCAGGGCAGGCGACTTCGGGAGCGCGGACGAGAGGCCGTCCGCGGCGGCGTGGAGCGTGGCCAAGCGAAAGCTCGGCGCGGCGCCCCGCGTTCGGCTTGGCAATCGGCGGCGGCGCGCGAGCCGGCAGGACAGCTCGCGACTGGCCGCGCGGGCGTGCGATCGTTGGGAGGCGCGGCACGCGCGCTCGTCGGCGTCGCCGCCGAGGAGCGATGCCGGTCACGTCGCGCGGTGGGCAGGGGGCGGCTGGAAAGCGAGCGCGCGCCCCGGAATACCGTAGCACGCGCTGCGCCGGCGCTCGCGGCCCGAATACGAGCGCACAAGGCCAATGACGATTTACGCTGGCACCTTCATTATCGGCCGCCAGCCACGCCGTCCGCATGCCCAATCGCGCTCTCGCCTCCGTCCGTTAGCTCCCCACGCCCGGCGCTCGATGACGTCTCGGCGATCTCGTCTCCCCTCGGCGTTCTCCCTTCGTCGCAGAGCGAGCGACGCCCGGCAGCCTTGAGAGGCCCGCGAGCTTTGCCGGTCTCGCGAGAGCCCGAGTCCGAGTGGCACGTAGGCCCGCGAGAAAGACGAGGGCAGGAAATCTCCGGCTCGGCCGCTTTGCACATATTCGAGGGCAATCGCACGTGTTGTGCATTGCCGCGCCGGCGCTGCTGCTGCGGCCGAACCTTCGCCGAATAGCAAGCGCGCACGTGACCAGACGCCGATATTCGCGGAAGCGACCACGCAACGCCTCGCCTCCCCTTCTGTTTTAATTGCGCGCATCTCGTTACTCGATCGTCGACCGCCGGCTTTGATCGCGCTCGCCTTCTTCGGCTCGGCGCCGTCGACTGAGAGATTCGGACTCGCCGGAAGCCGAATTGAAAATACGTCGAGGATCCTTGGTTGACGCGTGCGCGCGCGCGAGAGAGCAAAGATCCGGCCGAGTGTCGCTGGACGCGCAGAGGACGAGTCACGATTTGCGCGGCTCTTGGCGAGCTTGAGGCGACGAAGAGGCCTTCGCTGGTGGCGAACAATGGCCAGTTTGCGTGCATTCGAAGTGGGAGCTCGTCTCTCTCGCGTTCAAACGTACGGGCAAGCACTGACCACGGGTTGCGGAGCTCGTGTACAAGCACTGGCGACGACTGCCCTTTCAACGGAAGAAGCCAAGGCTTCCCCGATCGACCGTAGAAACGCAGCTGGAGGCGCGCGCTAGACCTCTCTGATGAAATCGGCACTTAGCTCGATTATGCATTCTGCGAGTCATCTCTCTGGCAAGAGACATTTACGTGCGCGGCTGCAAGCGAGAGGCTGCGCGCGATGGAGCAACCATGGCAAAGCGAAGAAAATGAGAAAAATATGGGATTAAATGTGCCGCGAGTCGCGCTGGCGCAGGTTGCAACGGACGCGCGCTAACAAGTCGAACGATTAGCCGCTTACTTTGGAATGTGCATCGATCAGCGCAAGCAGCGTAACGGCCTCGACGAGCAGTCGAAACAGAAGAGTGGAAAGAGGCAGGCGGTGCGCTGGCTCGTGTGTTACTCACGAATTTGCATTCGCACGAACCGCGCGTCGAGCTCGCATCGATCTGCTCGGCACTCCGAGCGAAGAAGAGGTCGGTCGACTCGTGTACCTGCCGTGAGAGCGCTTTCGTAAAGCGTAACCCTCGAGCGCGGCCAAGCTTTACGAGACGCGCACCACGTGGCTTTACGCGCGCGCTCGATGATTCATGTGTCATCTCTCTCTCTCTCTCTCTCTCTCTCTCTCTCTCTCTCTCTCTTTCTCGTTGTTTCTCTGCGCTCGCGACCTGTTACGCCTGAAAGTTTCCTTTATGCGCTTGCAGCTGTCGCCGAGCATATATTTGCGCCAGAAATTGCTTTTACTGAGAAACGAACGTGGTGGATGGCAACATTTTAACGCTTCTTGTTTATTTCCTCGTTGCTGTTGGTTTGGTCGTCAATAGGTTGCCACTTTTACTGCATCTCTCATTCACTATACGTACATTGCCGGTCACGTACTTTAACTCCCCACGAGCAAAACTACTTAAAATTTTAAGTTTTATATCTTTGGTAAAAATACATCTGCAGAGACGAGTGAAGGTACGTTTGCAAGTTCACTTCGGGAGCTTTTGAACGATATTCATTACGAATGCAATCAAAATATTTTTATTTTTTTAAACGAAAATTAAAAATTGAAAAATCTAAAAATTGTATATTTTTGATCTTTTGTCGATTCTCGAAAAAAATTAATTTCTTTTCAGACCCTATCCACATCACTCGTCATAAAATTATTTCCATCAAATTTTAGGCGCGTACGAGTATTTTTCTCTGAAATAAACACTCTTTCCTAACTTTTCATATCTCCGAAAATTCAAATAAAAGAAAAAAACGTCAATTTTTCAACGTAGAATACTGTGGAATTTTTATCAAATTTTTTTTCGAAAAACATTTTATACGTTTCTTTCCCTACAGCTGGTGCGCAAAAAATGATTTTAAAAAATTTACTCAGACATAAAAAGTTGTATTTTACTCCTAGAATAATTAAATAAATTACAATTTGAAAAAATTTTGTCTACCTAAAATATGTACGCGATAATCAAATACAATTAAAAAAAATATTAGTTATTAAAGTATTTAAAGAGAATATAAGATATGAATTTATAATGCCTAGATATTGTTCCATGCGAAGTAAACAAGTTTCTGATTAAATACGTGTTTTCATTTAACTTCTGACAGTATTATTATTATTATTTATAAATTAATTTCCACAACACAGAAGAAAAAACCGCAAAAGAATTTTCCTGAAAATTGTAATTTTTGAAACGAAGTTCTTTATTAATTTGTATCATTATTTTAAGAGTAGAAAAAAATATTTATGTTGTACATAATATTTGTTATCTTTCTAAGCGTATCAGATGTAAAGAATAAGTTGAAATTTTTGTTTTATAAAAAAAATCTGAATAAATTTCATAATATTCTACGTAAATAATAAATTTTTTTTCTATTGTTTGAATTTACGGAGATATGAAATGTTGGGAAAAAATGTTAATTTCCGAGAAAAATGCTCGTACGCGCGTCAAACCTGATGAAAATAATTTTTACGATAAGTAACTTTAAAATGGTGTTCTTAACATTTTTTTGCTAAAATCGGCGAAAGGTTAAAGATGGAGAAGGATTTATAGATTTTTCAGTCTTAAAATTTCGATTGAAAAAATAAAAAAAACTTTTGATTGCGTCCATCTTGCATACCATCATAAAAAGATCTTTCAAACACGTCCCCGGCCGTCTCTGTAAATTGAGTTTTACCAAACATATAAAACTTTAAACCACTCAATTTTGTTCGTAGGGAGATTAAAGTACGTTACAGATAATGAATATATTAACCGCATTCTACACAATACATTGAGTTCTTGTCCATAAATGGGCTTACATATTTATTTTCGGAGCGTTTCAAAAACTTTGCATAAAATGATACGATTGATTTTACAATTTTCATCAATGATTAGTTAAAATATTAATCGAATAAACCTTCGTGCATAAAGGAGGTTGTGAAATATTATGAATTATAGCTGTTACGTATCCACTTGTTCGGCTTAGGGGAATTTCATTTATTTTTATGTAATTACATTAATGTTAGTATTGTCGTCATAATTAAAGCCCTTCGCAGGAAATTAGTCCAATGTGCAATCGTGACAAAGTTTGCTGCTAATAAGTCTTTCTCAGAATTTGCCGGAAGCTATAACTTTCGGCAATCGAGAGTACAAACGATAAAAAAATTAATTGTTTCAAATCAAAATGGCAGAGCGGGAAAAGCATTAAAGCGTCGTCTCGAGTATTAAGCAAGAGAGAGAGAGAAAGAAAGAGAGAGAGAGAGAGAGCAAAGGACAATGTGTCGCGGGGATTGGTACTGTAAG